CGTATCAACTCTCTTTTGACATGTGAATGTTGGATTGGATTTGATAGGAGTGATTGGAGTTGAAGTTCGCGAGTCACATCAGACAACCTGTTATGTACTGACTGCCACAGCGGCTCACTGAGTCAATCAGTCATTCCGTCTGTTGATGTCAATTCTCCTTTGATCGTCAATCATTGACATTGGCAGTGAACGCTTTGATCTACGGTTTACATGTTGTAAATTGCAGCATCTCTGTGTGATTAGGTTATTTAATGGGATTACATCCTATTGCAACTTGATCTTATTTATTGTCTTTTGAACTGACTTGATTTAGGGTCAAGCATGGGTATTATCTTTGATTTAAAGCTGTCCTATCAAATTACCATTTTACCAACTCCAACGTTTTGTTATGTATGCAAGATGTATAGATTTGATATAGGTTTGGTGCAGGGAGTTATCCTAGCCCGAGACCCATCCTGTTTCCTAACAGATTCTCTTCAGCTATATTTGACTTCCCATCACTGGTTCAGCGTTCACAAATAAGTCATTACTGGTTTCGATATTTAATAATAATTGCTATAGAACCATCAGAACAGCCCAGTCTCGTTCAAATCTTACAATATGTGTACCTGAAAGACGTACAAGAGGAAAAAAAGGTTAATAGCTATTGATAACAGCGATGTTACGACGGGGTTGTACTGTTTTTAAGCAAACATTATTTCCTGACTTCTTGTGAACCGATCCCCAACGAGTTTCCTATCGGGGAAGGCATGAACACAATGAGTTATTTCAAAGTATATTCTACAACTAACTAAAACTACAATTTAATCGCTGGTTTAAGGTTGCGTTAATTTACTAGATGAAAAAGGTAGTTTACTAGAATGTATGTATTAAAGATCCTGAAATGTTTTTTGTCTACTATATACAGTAGAGTGTCTAACCTTGAAGTGAGAATCATGCAGGGGTTATTTTGAAAAGAAGAGAGTTGACAAAATTTTTTTTAATATTAGGCCTATATAATATGCAGATTTACATTGGTGCAATGGTTTCTGTGCCATAAATTGTATTTCTTAACAATGTTATAACATAATACATAAATTTTACCATTAGGAAGTACAAAATAATGCGGACAAGACGTATAAACTATTCTTTACCATGGCTTAGGGGCAAATGTAAGCAAATGTGAAGATTTTTCAGTTTAAACTAGCTACCAAACTTATTTCTTTCTAAAAAATAGAATAAAATAAAAACGCAAATGTAAAATACCCAAAACCTGTTATGAATACTAAAGCTCGTGGTCATGAACATTCATCCCATTCCTATCAATGTTCAATAAATGTTTGAAAAATACATGCCACAAAGTTTTCTTTCCATTTCACGTGAAAGTATTTTGGTATGCGCATTACTTCTCTTGTTTGGTATTTTGCGCAAATAAAATATTCGTATTTACAACCAATTATTTAACAAATCAATAGATCCTAAAATAATGTATAAATCTATACATGTAAAAGTAGGTGTGGGTTTGTTTGTATGTTTGTATATTTGACAGTAATAATCTTAGACACCGCTGGACCGATGGCCACGAAACTTGGTACATAGGTATGGAATTTCATGTTATATGTTTATACACCATCAATTTTGTGATCCGTCCAAACAGCTCCACCTCAGTGGCTCTGGAGTTTCGCCATGTTGACCTTATGAATACTTATATTTAAATGGAATTAAAGAATCGTAACAGCTGTTTCAACAAAACAATTTTTTCTGTGATGTTCAATAGCATTAAAATGTTCAGAATATATGGATTTTTTACAGTTTTATGTTTATGTAGCCAGTTAATACTGATAGTAAATTCATAAAAGTCTATCTACAAACAGCAGAACTAGGGATAATAATAATTGTTCTCTTTAGCGTTCTCAAGCTGCTTGCCATTATTTTCAAGAAACTAAAATTTGTCTCTTCTGCATCTTGACCCCGTTGCAAGGCACGGGTAGTGGCTAGTATACTTTTAAAATCCATCGAACGGATTTAATCTATTTTATTAAAAAAATTGTGTTAAAAACTTCTTAATTCTACAATATTTGCACAATCTATAAACGATCCCTTCATCTTTTTATCACTAACATTTTCCTCGTCCCCAAATAGGATTCTCGTAAATTACTTTTACTTTAAACGTAAACAAAGTTGTTTGAGTCACTCGACGTTCCAAATTAAACCAATCCTGTATATCAAGTAAATGACATTCTGTATAATCAGCTGTTTGTAATCAAGGCATCGTCAAAGACCTCTGGAGAGAGTGTGTTTGACAGGATCTAAAGCTTTATAGGTCTCTGACTGTGAGCGTGGAGTAATATACCTCGACAAATTATACTTGCTACCTAATACGCATATATTGCAATATCAATCAAGTTCGCTTAGTCTAATTGATTTATTTAAAATTAGAAAAGTTAAGTTTAGTAACCCAAATAAAATTATATTCATTGTAATTTGTGTTTTTAACCAATTGAATGCAATTTACAACATTGTATCTGTTTTGGTCGGGCTATTGTATTCTGGTTATTTGATCCACTGATGTCTTATCCACTCTACTCTAACTAAAAATGAAAATCCAAGAAAAATGATGAGTACCTTTTATTTAATATGTTTCAAAGTTGAGGTTAATAGTATCAAAAACACACAATTATAACTGTTACATTATGAAAATAAATATTTAATTATCTATGGATTAGTAAATCGGACTTAGATAAGCGTGAAACATTGTCATGGTCTCATGTTCTGCATAATTCAGACCACGAAAAAGATTGAACGAATAGTGTTTTGGCCTCTGGGGTCATCAAAATGAAAAAGTGAATCGGTACCGGGCTTAGGTCTTACCATCCCAGATACGGTAAAAGCTAATTCCCTATAGGAAGATTTGTTGAAAAATTGGGTTTTCTGGGTCGAATTATTAAAATTATTAGCTATAGTGCAACGTATGTGTCTGAAATTATATCAATAAACATAATTAAGTTTTCAATCAGATAAACTCTAATAATTTCTAATTGAGATTGTTACATGCAGTATGTTATACTAATCTAATGATTTTGTTGATGTTTTTACAGTTTTAAAAAAGAGTTACCCAGAGAAAGTTTTGAAAAAACTTACTAGTTTAACTTTGTTATTTCCAGCCTACTGTTCTACTCGATGAGTTATTAATAAAATCCATACGAACCAGATTGAATTAAAATGCATCTAGTTGAAAATGAATTCCGTTTCACAACTTAAGATTACCCTGGCAATGCATTTCCAAGTTATCGATTTGAATTTTAAAGACCACATTAATCTTACTCCAAGACAAGTCTTGAAAAGTCGCGTTCTTCTTTGTTAAAGTTAGACAGGATCTAAGTTCTCGAGGGTTTGTGACTTACTAAAAATAACGATTTTAAGTTCTTGGTGATGACATTTAAAATTTTCATTTTTATTAATAAACTACATATGATATATCTTTATAGATTCATTATTGTAAGATGTTTAAGATATAGCAATGATTTTTAGACTCGACGTAGTAGCACTTAAATTTGGACCCAAACTGTAAGTTGTTATTGGTATATTACGATTAGTACGACAAACAAATTGTTGTACCGGTAATGTATTTTTTATAATTTTGTGTTTGTGTTTATGTCGGTGGCAAAGTTTATGGATATAATTTATAGATAAAGCATACTCCCTTAGTCGATTTCTCGTCCTTATAGATCAGCTGAAGACAATTTTATTGTTAGTTTCGTCATCTGCACTGTAGTGGTCATGTTTTGTTTACAATTTGTTTCTTGATATTTTAGTAATTTCAACCCTCGTTTAGCCAAATAAAACGATCTAATCATAAACAGTAATTTGCCCCTTAGTTATATAACCAAACAGTAAAGCACATATCAAGAAATTAGCCCTATAATAATATAAACAAAATCTCGTCGACACTAGCTATCAGTGTCACCGGACCTAAACAAGACACGAAAACGAGCTTCAAAATTTACAATGATATGAGAAGTCTATATGATATAATGTTCGTGGTCAGTAATTTCTAAACAGAATATTACCCAAACTACCGAATTGTCTAAGAAACTTACATAGAAAAAGCTAAAGTAAATTTATAGAAGGAGTCTGAAATTCACAATTAGTTTTCACTTGTCCTGTCAAAATTTACATACAGATGTGTGACATGACATATTTGGACGATCACGTGGTTGACACAAGCGTAACGATTCCAGTTTTGGTCTTGCCCAATACCGGTCGAGCTTGCGCAAAGTGAAACTTGCCAAGTAAAAAGTTGCGACAAAAAGTGGCCTCAAGCAATCAGAGCATTCCATACTTTGTTGACATTCCCCTCGTTCTCGCGAGCGACTCCAAGGAGATTCCTCTAGATTCCGTCATTCTCAATTACAGTAGAGTCTCGATTATTCAATATTCGGTCACTCGTCCCTCCGTGAGTCCAGATGACACGGCTTGTTTTAGGCATTTGCATTTCCACTTGTGGTGCATCCATTTGCACTTTGTGATTGTTTTACCACGCAGAATTCTACCACATTGACTAAAGAAAGATACTACACTGTTCGTCAACTCCGCGTTACTGCTTACTTCTTTGCTGTTTCTTGCGTATAACAAATACAATTTAACTTGCTTATAATCAATGTCTTTATCACTTCAAAAAATGAATTCCATTGCATTGCAATCATTAGAAATTAGGCCTTTAATATTTTACGTTTAAACAACCAAAAGGTGAGGTGTACAGTTCTTTTAAGTAGGGCTTGCAAACATTTGCCTCCTGGTTTGGGAAACGATTCAGGAAATTTTAATACTACATGTATATGTTTCTAGTCTCCAGATATCATTGTTTTTTGTCTACAGGTGTATTCCTGGTACTATGTGTGTCTGATCTCCTAATATAATTTGTTTTCCACCTACAGATGTTCTCCTGGTACTACATGTCGTATTTTTGCCTACATTACATATTTTTGCGTGTCTCCTGATAACATCGTCTCTGCCTACAGCTGATCTCCTGATCCCCACAGCAGGATGACGGAAGGTATACTGGAGTGGTATGCTGACCAGACGGTGCTGGTGACTGGTGGCACTGGATTTATGGGCAAAGTTCTCCTGGAGAAGCTGCTCAGAGCTTGTCCAGACATCAAGCGCATCTACATATTGTGTCGTGCCAAGAGGGGCTTTTCACCAACTACAAGAGTATCAGAAATAACTAAGCTTCCTGTGAGTAAGAGTTTATATTTATATATCAGCGAATGTAACACGCATTTCCGATGTCAAAGCATACACTAAACGGACTAAGGACTATAGGCTAATAAATAGAGACTAGAATCATCATAACAACAGTAAAATTTGTCAACATTTTAGCCTGTTCCAAATAAAAGAAAATTGTAATCATTTTTAACATTTTTTATAAATTAGTAGTTTTTGTATCGAGACATTGCTATTGATTTGCTATATCAAATGAAGATGTTGCATAGAAATAACTGCAATCCAAACATCTGACCTGCAAGCAAACCTCATCTGTTAAATAACAATGCTGTAAAGGTGTAAAGTGTATGACTACACTCATCTTACTAGGTATATCGTGAATTGTCTGATAGTTTGTTTTAACTGTAGCCATGCGTCTACACAGTCAAACGGACAATCAATTTTACTTAAAGAAGCGTATTACAAAAAGTTACACATTATTTATAAAATATAAATCAGTCCAAATCTGACCATGGTAATCAAAGTATTTTCTATTCTCATAGTTATGGATCAAAGATACCGCATTCAATTACTTTATTTGTATTATTCGGACATGTACTCATAGCTCTTGCATAAATAAAAATATTATAGTTATATTTAAGAATTATTTTTCTAAGTGCTGACGGGATCACGTCTTACAGATTTCATTAAATATTCTATAGCGAATCCAACAAAATAGTATCTTGATCTTAAAGACTGTTGAAGAAGCAAGTCGCTATCTTAATGTCGTCTGACGCCTCCAGTTCCGGTGAGAGCAAACAAACTTGAAAGGTATCAGGGGACTCTTACTTCTGTAGGTTAAACGTTAAACTTAGCCCATCTAATATACTGTATAGATAGTTGTTATCACGTCTTGTAACAATTACAATGCGAGCACCCTTTTTTAATACAATTATTGTAATTTTATGTAAAACATTTGAAGGACCATATGCCTACATCTGTAAAAAAAAAAACAATTTATTTTAGAGATTTTTGTATGCACTGCTAGACAGATATGCAAATTAAACGTATAGGTACGCACGTACAGTAACGCACAGGTATTAATGGTATTATGTATATTTACAACATATTAAATACAAGTTTTCTTAGCTAAATAAATTGTTATTGGATTTATCACAGTCCTTGACACTAGGTTCAACGAATGGTAGCTTTGATATTGGTTAAGATCAGCTTGTTTTGTAGACCTGATAGTTAATTATAATCCTAAAGATAGAGGACAGTGGGTTCAAGTTTGCAAATTGCTAAAATGCTACAAAACGGTAACTGGAATTCAATCCGTAAATGTAGACTATGAGTAAAGAATCTATCTAGTGAGTTAGAAACATCTCGATGTTTTAAAGATATCAAATACAAAATATTTAGTAACAATAAATTCTAGCCTTAAATTCGAACTGAACTGACATCAAACACTAAAGAGCACTAAAAAAATCAAAAAAGGACTGTGTACCAGCGGAGAACAAATACAAAACTTTCTAGAACCACAGATAAATAAGATAATATCTTACTTCTCTGTGCTAGAAACGAAAACATGCCATTTTTAATTAATTATTTAAAAAATAGAAAAATGAATTATGGAACAGTAAACGCCAAGATTCTTGCGTGATTTCTCAGATAACACGCAGCCTAGTTAGTGTTAATACAAGCGAAATATACACTGGTAAATGCCGAAGTAAAACATTAACTGTGTTTTATCAGCCCTCTGAGTCGAGGGTAAATTTAGCTCTGCCATGTTGGCAATTCGTCATGCGGTTGACAAGTTTCACAAAGCTCACACAATAACGATGTGCCAATATTTGTTCACTAAATTCCCACATTGCCCCAACCTTGTTGAGCACAGATTTTTTCCACCATTCAACATCGTGCTTTGCCCGTTTTTGTAAATTACTGTACTATAATTATATTCCTTAATATCAAATAGCATTATTTTAACAGGTATAAAAAACACCAGATAATTTGTATTGAAAACTTCTACGGTCAGAGTAGGTTGTGAAATCTGGATCCTCTGGAGATGATTCTGTCGTCGAAGGTATTCGCTCACGTTTTGGGCTGCATAGCACTAATCCTCCTTCTTCGACACAAACTACAATTAAACTCAAGATTTGAATAGTAGTTTGTCCTAAAGATATATTGCTGTCGAGACCAAGAGCAGATTTAATGTCCATACAATATATTTACTGAATAATATTACACAATTGTTACACTCTAGCTATTCGACCGTCTTCGCAAGGAGAACCCGGCGGTCCTCCGCAAGCTGGTGGCGGTGGAGGGAGACCTGACGGCGGTGGACCTAGGTCTTCGCCCTGACCTGAAGACTCAACTGCTGCGGGAAGTCACCGTGGTGTTCAACGGGGCGGCGTCCCTGAGGCTGGAGTGGGGACTCAAGGCAGCCATAGAGAGTAACACCCTGGGAACACTGAGGGTGCTCGAACTGGCCGAGCAGATGAGTAACCTACAGGTAACTAAAGTTCAAATTAATTTAAGTAGTTATTTGGACGAATTGTCGGAACGATTCCTTTATGTTAATCTCTAATTTTAATTATCTGTTGGCTTGTTCAGCCAGCCTAAAACAAGGTTTAAGCTGATAAAACCTTAAAGTACTTCCGTTGGTTTGTCATTATAAAACCTAAAATTAAAAACTGAGATCTCTTTTGAAAGCTGCATCGAATAAACTCTAGAGGTCTAGCTTGCCCATTTTTTTACTTAGCAAGCCACCTGAGAGAGCCATTGATTATGAGTTACTGTAATTACAGCTGACAATCACTGGGTTCAAATTTGCACCTCTCGTCATATAGGAACCGTCTTGTGAAATACTGAATACTAAAAAAATGCGATGTATTTCCGTGCTGTATTAACTCTAAACCGTATCGAGTACATCAAGACATCTTCTTTTTTCCTGTATTCGAAATATCTTGAGTGCCAATGGCTTTAGACACATTCTAATGGTCATACTGTCTGATTGTTTGAGCGCACTGAAAAACATGTTTCTTATAATCCTAAACCAGCAGAGGTGTCTGGTAACCCTAACGTTTAAGTTGCAGCGTAAATGTTGAACTTTGGCTTAGTGGATGAGTATTTTTTGCAGTTACAGTTGAGGTACTTTTCCTTTTGAAACTTATTTTAATATACATGTTAAAAATATAAACCTGGGGAAATGGTGGTTGTAATAGAAAACTAATCAATGGAAGTCCTCCAACGCGTTTAGTAACGGAGAGTCCTTATTGATTTAATGATAATCAATACCTTTATAATGAGGGATTTTATATTTTACCTTTACGCTCATGCGGTCATTTGGTCATAAAATGAACGTAAGGTCGGCTAGGTTAGGTCAGATGGTTGACGCTCGGATGGTTGAGTATATTGTGGTCTCTTCGGACAAGCAACAAAGATAATTTAAGCTGACAACTCTCTTATCTTAAAATAAAATATGAAATAAACCGATATAGAAATCCGCCTTAATATAGCTGAATCGAAGGAAGTCACCTATTGAATCACTTAGCTCACTCCAATCAACTGAAAAATCCACCAGGGGGAGACATCAAAAGGCAATCATTGACTCTGCCCACAATCTATAGATTCATAGAACTACTTAATAATGAGATTTCAATGCCATATTTGGCTATAAATACATTACTACAGTATCAAGTGTTAGTTCCACTGCCTAGTCAAAACTTTTTCCAGTTTTAGAACATGAAAGAGAAGTGGATTTATGCTACCGAATAATGCGATGCCTTAATTTTTAGGTTTTGTTATGTACACCAACCTTCCACTTTGTATTCATACTAAAACAGAACAAAAGTTAGTACACAGTAATAGTACAGGAATAACTTTTCTTGAAATAACCAAAAAATATTTACATACCAAAACAATTAATATTATAATCTCTGTTTACATAGAAAACCATTGATGCAATAAAAAAATATTTTACGATTGAAGTAGAAAACCCAACAATATTCAGGGCTTTCTCAATATGTTGTAGGTAATTTTCTAAGAAGGTATAAAATTCTCACCGAAATACATAATTTTGGTTTTGCATACAGAGTGCATTTGTTAGTTTAATCAAATGATAACACTTGATAATTAAATAACGTTTTACAATTTTTACCGGATTTATATTTTGCCCAAGGAAAATCCCAAATTATACAGTGTAGCAAACTAGACTTACAAATTTGTTTAAAACTAATAACCTGCAAATAAATTCGATAAAGCTATTTTAACAACAAAATGCCTCATCAGCAAAATGTTTTAGTTGTTTATTTTTAAATATGATATTTGTTAATTACAATTAACATTTTCGTGAATAATTAAAGTAAGGACGTATAAATAGTCCAGGAGCTGAGGGGGTTTGAGCATGCATGAAAGTAGTACGCAATGTTATTGCTGATTATTGTAATATGGACTGTGGTGATCAAAATTACGTATGTCGCCTATTTCAAAAGTGGTCGATAAGGTGGGGGGGGGGGGCAAACATGGCGGTTTGCGCTATGCGTTAAAACGCTGATAGTTCGTAAACGGTAAAAGATAGAACATCGGTTAAAACGTCGTTGGAATTTTAAAAATGTGGACAACAATAATGGTTATTGGGTCCGAGGTCGTATCTCTATAAACAAACAAGTTATTGTATAAAATATGTAAAAATGGACTTTTCGTGTAGTTTTTTAACCGAAAGTAGAATTAATTTGTGAGTGTCGCAAAGAAGTAATATCAAATATCTTTGCTGATAGTTGTAATATGGACTGTGGTGATAAAAGATACGCATGTCGCCTACTTTTCAGGTGGTCGAGAACTTGTGGGGAGGGGGGCAAAGATGGCGGAACGCGCTATGCATCGAGACGACTGTAGCTCGAGAACGGTACGAGATAGGACATCGGTTAAAACGTAGTTTTAATCCAAAAAATATTACCAATAGAAAAGGTCATTGGGTAAAAAGTTGTATCTTAACTAATAAAAAAGTTATAACAATTATAAGTTTAACAAAATCTACATCGTACAGCTATTTTTTTCGAAAATCGTATGGATTGTTGATAAATAATAGTGTAATTCCTTAATTACTCGGCTATATATTAACTAGATGCATTTTCTTATAAGAAAAAAATATATTATTACGAATACATTTGGTTTAAAATGTAAAACAAGGCCTCCAAACTACATATAATACTTGGGGTTTCGCCGCAATCAAATGCATAATACAGACTACCACTACAAATCCAATTTTAATTATTATAAAGTTGTAGGTTATTATAATATGATTATGTAACAGATTCTTATTCAGTTATGCCAGTTATTCAGTTCTTATTAACAGTTGCGCCGATATCAGCAGCACTGCGCAGCAATTATGACGCAACCTATCGGACGAACCCCAAGGCGTTTGGAGGCCGTGTTTTACATTTTAAACCAAATGTATTCGTAATAATATATTTTTTTCTTATAAGAAAATGCATCTAGTTAATATATAGCCGAGTAATTAAGGAATTACACTATTATTTATCAACAATCCATACGATTTTCGAAAAAAATAGCTGTACGATGTAGATTTTGTTAAACTTATAATTGTTATAACTTTTTTATTAGTTAAGATACAACTTTTTACCCAATGACCTTTTCTATTGGTAATATTTTTTGGATTAAAACTACGTTTTAACCGATGTCCTATCTCGTACCGTTCTCGAGCTACAGTCGTCTCGATGCATAGCGCGTTCCGCCATCTTTGCCCCCCTCCCCACAAGTTCTCGACCACCTGAAAAGTAGGCGACATGCGTATTTTTTATCACCACAGTCCATATTACAACTATTAGCAAAGATATTTGATATTACTTCTTTGCGACACTCACAAATTAATTCTACTTTCGGTTAAAAAACTACACGAAAAGTCCATTTTTACATATTTTATACAATAACTTGTTTGTTTATAGAGATACGACCTCGGACCCAATAACCATTATTGTTGTCCACATTTTTAGAATTCCAACGACGTTTTAACCGATGTTCTATCTTTTACCGTTTTCGAACTATCAGCGTTTTAACGCATAGCGCAAACCGCCATGTATGCCCCCTCCCCCCACCTTATCGACCACTTTTGAAATAGGCGACATACGTAATTTTGATCACCACAGTCCATATTACAATAATCAGCAATAACATTGCGTACTACTTTCATGCATGCTCAAACCCCCTCAGCTCCTGGACTAAAAGTAGTTTGTGAAAGATTTAAAACTTATATCAAGCACAGTGTAATACTGAAACTGTGTATCATAATCTAGAGGGTCATAAACCAACGAGCTCATGGTGTGAACTCGTAACAGAGCAAGTTATTACTTTGTTAAAGAATCATTACACATTATTAAATGACGGCCATATAATGCATCTCTTTTGAAAGAGAATCCATACAAAAAATTATACTATTACCATATAAAAATTTAATTTTATATTATCCATGGGTTTTCTTCGCTGTAAACGATTACATAATTTCTCTAATAAAAGCCATAGACATATAAAAAAATTTAATATAGTGTAACTGTACGTTTGGCCGATGTTGAAATTTTATAGCTTCAACCAAGTAAGTTTTTTTAATTCCCAAAGAAAACACATACATAATGCATATTACGACCACAAAATAATATACAACACGATAAAAAAAAATGAAAACCCCTGTTACTACGCTCTTATTATCAGTCTGTACAATCCAAGCTAGAGAAAACTACGACACCCGACGGATTGAAAAAGTCTATGTTACCTTAAAACTAAAATAATTATCCTTCGTAATTTTCAACTTATAGACACATTAACATATCACAGTTGGAATTAGAAATTAAATATATAACATTTTAAAATGTAATGTTAATGAGTTATATAACATTTATAACATAAAACAATATAACATTTTTATTGCTATTTGTACAACCACGCAACATTTAAGTATTAAATGTGTAAATACCTTATTACATTTTACGTTATACAAGATTATGATTTATGGAAAGTAATTTTGTAAAAAAAGTGGTCATTTTCTATTTTCTATTTTTAATTTACAAGTTTTATTGGAAAAATAAAAATAATGATATTTTAAAAAATTTTTAAGACACATACAAAAATGTATTAAGCTATATCTATCGTTATTGGTCAATTACTCGTATTACCGAGTTAACCAAATACATAGTTTAATGTATACCATTTGTTTATAATTAGCCAGTATTACTTAATTTGTTCATGAAATGGAATAGAAGTCTATACTTATTCAAATTCAGCTAGTTTTTGAATTTTCTTGATCAGTGGAAAAAGTGTTAAGTGTCTCATGCCTTAAGAGACTAAGTTTAAATTGATTCTTAGTTTATATAAAATACTCGTTCATTAAAACCCAATCTTCATTCAAGAACACGGACCTTATTTTGCATTAATCAAAGTTTGTCTTTTATAAGTATATAACAAGTGAACAGCTTCCACAACTTGTAGATAGACCAGGTA